TACCCATTTATCTACTCACGTGAGTTTTCGAACTGTTGGGTTTACAGGAACTGGGGAAGAAACAGGAGCCCACCCTGCTAACGCGAAGGCTGGACTCGAACTGCTGAAGCGTCGACCATTTCTGGCCGGCAACTTTCAGAGTCATTAAGCTGTTGCGCCACTGCATCCCCTTCTCATTTTCCTTACAACATCCTAACCATTTCTTGATAGGAGGGTCAGTACATTCCCAATAATGTTTGTTACTGGGTGGATTAAAAATATAGCAAAATAGAGCAGAGGATACAACTTTAGTTGCCATTTTAACATAAACAGATTTTTTTTGAAGAGATCCTTGGGAAGGAGCTCTTCCAAATATCTTTTTGTTTTAAATACTCAGAATAATTATAGTGGCTACCTCACTACTTTCCCTAACTCCAATTCATTTAGATGTTCTAATCAGCTTGCCAGATCCAGCTGAAACATAAAATTTGGGTCTGCGTCCAAGGAATATGAGTTGGTTGGGTTGTGAGCTTACCCTCTCTACTCATCATGATCTTACAATGGACAGCCTTGTGGAAATGAGTTACTCCTGGAAAAGAAAAATGTGAGTTCAAAGCAATACTTCTTTGTGTTGTTATAATCCTCTACGTACTGCAACTCTGGGACCATTGGCTTTGCCTCTATCATTCTGGCTTTATCTATCATTATGTTAGCCTGCAGCTGCCTCCAATTCCAATTCGCTGCTCTCTTTTCTTTCCCACCAGCTCTAGTCTGTACCATTTGCCTTTGGAGCAGAAGAGGGCTATGACATTTAGCATCTCTAATTACTGACTTAAATCCTAAAAAATCATAGAGTAGAAAATGGGTGTTGAGGTACTATGACCAACATTGTTTTTGGCACACAAGAAACTTAACCCTGAAGTGATGAAAAAGGGTATTCCTTTTAGGATTTATGTTGTGGATGTTGTTTTCCAACCTTTGGAACTTGGTTTCCCATTCAGAACATGTTCTATCTTCTCTCCAAGCCTGCACTAATAATCTGCTGCACTGATGATCACAAACATTCCAGGGTCCCCTTCCTCTGATCTGTCATCATAAGGCAACAAAATTATTTCCAAGCAAAGCAAGCAATAGAAGAGAATATATGTAGCTCAGGGTTGAACTGTGGAGTCCTTGATGCACTCTGAGGTCAGGCAAACAATCAAGCAGGAAAAAATACCCTAATCAAGGCACTACCAAGGAGAAAACCACACCCCCACCAACAATGGCAGGGCAAGCTACTGTATATGAACAGAGAGAAAACCCCACACTCACTTGCACTGATGTTACCTAGTTGGGTAATGAAATGTCTGCAAGCAAACAATCAAGTTCAGAGAGCACCAAGGACTCCAAAGCAAGCAATCTTTGTCAACTTCATATGGTTATACCTTACTGTTAGTCTTTATTGCAGTGAGTAACTAGCTAAAAATGTAGAGGACCAAATGTCAAGTGTGATTCCTATGTAATGTATGGGTATACATTCAAGGTAAATTGGTGTCATTGTGTAAATGATTTTTCTTCATCAGCAGTTTAATTACTGCCGTAATTAATTAAGCTGCTGTACTGCATCTTGAGAGGAAATGTGGACATTTTCACAATACCTCTAGTTAAAGAACACCTTTAGTAATGACACCTTCCAACATGTGTTGTCATCACTGGTGCACAGCTGAAGAAATCTAGAGCTGAAGGAAAAAACAGACTCCATTCTAAAGCCTAATACACCAGAACAGTCCTAAATACAGAAAGTTGGACCACACCTCTTTCCCAAGGTGTGGTAAAATTAAAGCACATGAAATTGCATGATCCCATTGCACATCAATTAAATGCTTTGATTGTTACATGCACTCAGCATGGATGGGCCTTGGGAAGCAAACGGCTAAGAGCTATCGCTTTGAATAGGTGAGCACAATGCACACATTAGAGCATATCAACTGATGTCCATATGTGCTGTGGCACTTGCATCACCAACTCTGCTGGTTGGTGGCCATTTTATGCATACTGTCCATTTCATCTGACTCATGGAGCTGTGGGACTTGTAAGGATTGGCACCTCTTCTACGCGTTCCACCGTTATGTGGCTCTGGAGTTATATATCACCATCTCTCAGAAAACTGGTGCAGAGAAGGCTCTGGCCTTGGAATTGTTGGTTTGGGATGGCTTTGGCTGATGTTGAGGGAAGTTGCTGACTGTCATGCGGTCACCCTCAGGTGAGGAATAGGGGGAAGGGTGCATCCTGGGACTGAAGAGTTTTGTTGCCCTCTGGTTACACAGGCGAGAACAGGGCAACAGGGTGGTGATGCAATGGAATGTTTTAGTTTGATGAGTATGGATATGGCTGTGGTATGGAGTACAAGCTACAGGTTAGATCAAGGTGCATTGAGTGCTATGCAGAAATGCCCCAGACACCTGACTGGTTAGCTGGTTGAGTCAGCATCATTTGGTGTAGGATGGGCCCTTTGAACTGCAGAAGGGAGGGCAGGAGTTGGAGAAGGGTGGTGCTTTTAAAGGAGAAAGGGCAGGTCATTATGGTGGTGACAGGCAAAGGGAGATATGGAGGGAGCTAAAGGGTGGATTGCACATTGAATTTGGCATCCTTCTGGGCTGGCTCAGAGATTTGGGAGTGGGAGGCACAGTGTTGTAGTGGTTCTCTTTTCTCCATGGCTGTCAGGGGACAGAGTTCTGGCCCTTGATCTCTGCTTTGCAGGATGCCTATGCTCTCCTCCTATTCAGCCTCTACATGAAGCTGCTGGGTGATGTCATTCATCAATATGGGGTAAGATATCAGTGTACTGATGATACCCAACTATATATCTCTGCTGCAAGCCAATCAGTTGATGCCCATCAAGATTCTTTCCCAGTATCTGGAGACTGTAGGACTCTGGATGAAAAGAACAGATTTTACCCCAACTATGGCAAGACCAAATGGCTGTGGGCTTTGGGACCTCCTGCATTTGGAGAAATTCCATATTTAATTCTGAATAGAGTTGCACTCCCCCAGATAGAGAGGAGGCCTTGGGGATCTTCTTGGACTCATGGGTCCTGCTCAAAGAGCAGGTGGCAGCAGGGGCCAAGAGGGCCTTTGCACAAATCCATATTGTGTACCAACTGTGCCTGTTTCTAGACCAGGAGGTCCTGCTGATGGTCACTCATGCCTTACTCACCTCCCATTTGGACTACTGCGATGCACCTTACACAGGGCTACCCTTGAGGAGTATTCAGAAGCTTCAACTGGTCTAGAATACAGAATATTTGGGGGTACCACAGTATGCCCACATAATCCCACTGCTTCCCAAGATGTACTGCCTCCTAGTAAGCTTCCAAGTGCAATCAAAGTTGCTGGATATTACCTACAAAGCCCTTCATGGTGCAGGACGAGTTATTTATGGGCTGCCTGTCTCAAATTGTTTCTGCCCACCCCACCAGATCTGACCAAATGGGCATGCTCCGGGTCCCCTCTATAAGGCAGTGTCATCTAATGGGACCAAGAGATATGCCTTCTCTACCACAGCACCCGCTTTATGAAACAATGCCCCCCCCCCATCCAGATGGCACCAACCCTGTTGGCCTTCCATAAAGCCTTAAAGACCTGGCTATTCCCCTGAGCATTAGGCCAGGATTTTTAGTGAGCCTGCTCTGCATATGTTTTGGAGGGTCTGAGTCAGACTTGGGCAGCATGGCACTATACTGGTTTTTGTTGTTATTATTTTACTTGCGTTATTGTTCTTTTAAATTGTTGTTAGCCATTCAGAGTCATACACTGAAATGGGTGGCTGCATAAAGCCTTTTGAATACCCAGCAAGTACAGTAACAGTGTCTTTCAGGAAACTGTAAGCCAGTGATCCTCAGGCCCATAGCTGTTCTTCCTGGGACCATTTTTTTTTTTCATTGTCTTAAAAGATAAATTTCCCCTCTTTCTTCCCCCCACCTCATTTTTATGTTAGCTGGTGACCATCACCTCCCCCTTTTTTGCTGGCGAAATGCGACCCAAATGAATCCACGTATGAGTTACTTATGAATCACCCACTAGTGAGGTCTGAAGCACCGGACTAAAACATATTGCAAGGCGCTAATCCTCAGCTGAAGTCTCCAGCGAAACTCTACAACTTCCGCGATTCTCCTCTACAGCCTTAGCTCCTGCTATATTTAAAGAGTGGCCCGCCACAAAGCACTTTCATTACGCCTCAAAAGCAGCACGGCAGCAGTTCCACATTACTGGTTTCCTGGTGGGCATTCCAGCATCAGGAGGACCGACCCGGACTATAACCAACGCAGCTGCGCGATCGCCTGGACTGACGAACCCCGCATCCACCCAAAAGGGGGACCGCCGCCGCCGCCGCTGCCGCTGCTCGGTTTTCGCGGGGTTGCTACGTATTTCGGGCACCACCTCTCCACGTGGGGCTCCATTGAGAAAGCAACAAAGCGCCCTTTCCGCTGTTTACAAGCAGCTCGGTTTGGAAGGCGCCACAAAGCAAACGCGGGGGTGGGATCGCGGGAGCGGCGCCGCGATTGGCGGCTGATTGGCAACGCCGAGGGCTTGACGACCCGGCTAACCCTTAATCCCAAAGGGCGAGGTTGAAGGGAGCCTCCCGATGCTGGATTTCCGCCCTCTGAGAATCCCATCGACTCTCCCTCTTTGTGATGTGTCGATGGTATCTCTCCATAGAGGATAAGGTTGACTGAGTTCTCGGGGGAAGCGCGAAGATTAGATGCACCCAGGAGAAAGGGGTGACCGCCCTTGTCAGAGTCAAATTAATACATTCTCCCTTTCATCGGCTACTTGCTGCTCTGCACGCAGGACTTGGCTGTAAGTACTAGCTCCTGGATCCCCCCCCCATCTGCATATTTTATGTGTGCGCACACATATGCACGCGCGCTCCGTTTAACCCACGTTTTACGCGATCGGCTGGCATGAACAGTACCATCACCCTTATGGGCTTTCTTAGTCAAACTTCAGAGCAGCATGAAGCTGAAAATAGTCGTTACTGCTCTTCTCCTTGGCTGTTTTATGTTGCTAGAGGTTCTCTGCGGTGCTAACTTTTAGAGTCGCGTGCCAAGCAACAGGTTTAGCAGGCACCGGCTTCAGAGAATTAGTCTTGAATGTTCATTTCTTCAGTGTTGTGCGCTCCCGAAAAATCACCTCTTTGGGATAAAGTTTTCCTGAACAATGCCTTGTTTTAAAAAAAACATGTAGATAGCCTAGCTCTGCATAAAAACGGCAACGTTTAATTTGGCTTCTTGGTTTTGATCTGCAGTAGTTTCTAGGGCAAGCGTTTGAAATAAAGTTATGCTAGAAGAAACGATGAATATAATTTTAAATTCCGCTGCTCTAACCTTGAAAAGGTTTCCCCTGAGTAAACACGTTTAAAATTACATTAACCCCCTGCCCCGCTGGGGTTTTCCCCTGACTTTTTGTATGGTTGGGTATCAGTAGCATTAGACAATTGCATTACAGGGTTGAAGTGCATCTTTTAGATCGGTTTTACTTATTTTTAAATACTTATTTTTTTAAAAAAATTAAATCCAAATATAGGATGTATGTATAGGATATACATCTAACAAGTTTATCAGGCAACTGAATTTTGGAATTTCTATGAAAATGTGCTGTTCAAGGGGGTTCATTTTAACTAAAAGATGAGTGCTTCAGCTGAGAAGGTAAACTTTGCTGTACTCCTTCAATTAAAATTGTGTGTCTAGGGCTGCTTCATACTTTTTTTTTTTTTTACCTACAGGGAATAAACTACGGACATTGTCATCTGGAAATGCCATGTGTGCTTGTTTTCTGAAGCTAGTCATTTTCCTCTGACTATCCACATAGCAAAATAAAGAACGTTGCCTCCTTTAAGAATTAAAGGACATAGACTTAACCCAACTGTTCAGCTAGTTGCATGAATTTTTAGTCTTGTGTTTTCGAAGCTACTCCATTTGAGACACACAGAATCCCACATTCACTCAGCATTTAATGATTTAATCGTCAGTGGGTGTGGTTAGTTCTCATTTTGGATTGCTTTGGGATCTGTCTCTTTTTAAAAGATTTTCTGTAGTTCTATAGATTTTAGGGTTATCCCCTCTTGCACACTTGTACACATAAAGATCAGCAGTCAGATGTGGGTGAAGGCATTCAGTGAAACTCTTTCATCTGTTATTTTTCTGTGTATTGAGAGAACATGTGAAGGAGAAAGCAGGAACAGACATTCAGGATTGAAGGAATCTCTGCATTCATTGAATGTGTGTAGACTATAGAGTTAGATATCGTGCACAATTAAGACTCTTAATCACCTAGATGGCTTAACTGAACTAGGACAGGTTCCCCTTGCAGACTTTCTCTGCAGCACGAAGGGCAGTTTAAGAGGGGCTGGACGGGGAAGCAAAGCAGCATTGTGGCAGCCCCATGTCTATGGAATATGCTGCCTGCCCCCCCCCCCCAATTTGTAGAGCTCCTGCCTGTCATTTTGAAAGGCCACAAAGTGGTAGGGCATTTGGGATGGGCCACTGTGGCGTACACCATTTTAGTCCCTTAAATACATGAATAGTGTTTAGTGATATTTTCTCATCAAAGTTACATTATGTTCATTTTTAGAGAAGCTGTTTGCATGCTGGCGAAGAAGAGATCGAAAGCGTACATTTTAGTAAATCTGTGGACCAGTGGGGGAAGGAATGATTTGGGGAGTGAAGCACGAATGGGTGGCCTTTGTCACATGTTCCTAATATATGGAATCATAACTTATGAGGAAAGGCCAAAAGTGACAGAATTTGGGGCTACAGTACAGTACAGGTGGCCAGTAAAAAAATTTAAATATTAAAAAAACTTATGTGTAATATTACTACATAAAAAAGAGACTCTGTAAAGCCAATTCCCTGGTGGACAATTCTAATATTTGTTTTAATGTATAGGGGAACCTTCAAAATGGGAATAGCTCCATCTTCAGTCCTAACTGGGATGATCCAGAATTCTACCACAACAAGCTGTAGTAAAATGGTGTCTCTTGTGATGAAAGCCGCGAGAACCAAAACATGCCAGAAATGATCTGTGTTGCCTGCTTGTTTTCCAACAACTGTGGGTTTTCTTTTTTCTTTTCACAGTCAGATTTGCTGGTCTGCAGCTATATAAAAATATCTTCCTCATCTTATCTGATTAAAGCACAGCCTTGTCTCCTAGAAAGGATTGGGACTTTCCCCTCAGGAACTGATTCCAAATGCAGTTATAAAAACCGACACCAAGTATTAAGTCTCATCTCTTGGATAATCTGTCTAGTGATCAGTCTTTGCTTTTGTAAAATATTTCCAGTGATCTATTTTTCTGTCTATCTATAAAATTACCTTGAGTGTTTTATTGTTTGGTACTAGTTCACATATTCTTCCTCAATTCTGATTTATATGTTTGGGCATTTGGACAAAATGTACTCAGGGTTCCAGGGTTCTGATGTTGGATTAAACTTGCATTATCAGTACAACTGATAAGTGTAACTGGCAGAGAAGATGAGTTTGGTCAATGGGAATATGTTGGAATTTAGTGATGTTTCCTGAGGAAGAAGAATGGAGGATATGAGTCATTTTTTCACTGAATTTCAGAATTAGGATTGCAGGGTCCACCTCGTTGGGTTTTCTAGAGTGAAGCTCTTTTCCTACCTGCACAATGAGCTCATACGTGCATTTACCTGTAACAGCCTGGAAGGTAGGCCAATATTATTTTCTCCATATATTTAATGGGTACAATGTGTTATTTCTTCCATATATTTAATAGGTAATAAGATAAAGCTAAGAAACAGCAACTTCATTAACTTAAAAAAAGACTGCAACCAAATGATTAGCAAGTGAAGAAAAGAAATGGATTGGTGCCAAGAGAATGTTTGGAGTTGCTGAGGTATTTTGATGTAATCTTTATTGAGGCAACAATGGCAAGCAGGTTCTTCTAGGGCAAGAAAATAATTGCACCATAGCAGAAGATGCAGTTGCTGGCTCAGTAAAGCTCTAATGCTTTGGGCAATTCAATTTTTCTTTCTTTCCTTGGCGCCTGTTTGAGGTTTACCTCATTATTTATTTATTTGTTGCAAAAGGGTCCCCAAGGGTTCATGGTTGAACTGGGTTTTAAATCCAGGATGTTCTTATAATGAAGAATGCTCCTACTTACTAAGGAAGTATTAATCTGCAGGACTGGTTTATTTGTTTCAATGGTCTAGCTCTAGCACTCTAATGAAAAATAGAAGCAAAAGGTATTTTTCCACCTCCAGGAATTAATGTTCAAGTTTGAATAATGGGCAGGAAGAGGATACACAGTATTGTGTGTACGGTCTTCATGGGATTCAAATTATAGCAAACTGTAACCCTGATCTTGGCCCAAGCTTGTGTGGTTTCCCACCCCTGTTCTGATATCGTCATGTTGAGATATGGATGTCTCAAAAGGATATGAACAAACTTTTATGGAAGCTGAATTCCTGTGTAAATAGGATTCCAGCTCCTACAGAAGCCGGTGGGTAGGGTAGGGTAGGGTAGGGTAGGGTAGGGTAGGGGGGGGGGGGGGGGGAGAGAGAGAGAGAGAGAGAGAGAGAGAGAGAGAGAGAGAGATTTCCATCACTCCTTTTCCATTGTCTGTTGTGGGGACATCTAAACCAGATTTTTCCACCTGATGTTCTCCCTGGTATAGTCTATAGCTCACACTGTCTTCACCAGCACTACAAGCAATAGTACTAGCTGAGGGTGATGGAAGTTATAGTATAGCTCAGTTAAAAGGTTCAGGCTGAGAAAAGCTGCTCTAGGTTCTTTTCAATTCTAAGTCTTCTGCCCTCCAACCTTTTTTTTCAACATGGTTATTTTCTTTCTTGAAAAATGTAGTTATAAATCCCTGCCTTGAGGATTGACAGGAGGTTAATAAAATAAATCTTGTTAAATTATAAACAAACTGTAATAACATTAAGTTCTTTAAAAAACATCCCAAAGGCATTCTCTTAATAGCTATGGTACCTGCTATATTGCACATGCCAATACTTTTTATGTCTTGCCTGTTGTAGTGGTTGCTGTAATAAAAAAAACAAAACAAAACAAAAAACAGGATTGTTCACTACTTTTGATGAAAGAAAGAATGTGAAATGCTTATTAATTGGCTGATTTGTGGGTGTAAGAATATGCAAGTTTCCAGACAGTACACAGAGTTTTTAGGTAATAACAGGACCAACTTTTATTTACAAATGAATGTTCTTGGAGTTATGTGCTAAACAAGATGGGATGCATGGATATTGGCTACAAGATCAGTTATACAGTGTAGAAAATGGTGACTGTTCTCTCTTTGCTTAGAGGAAATACAAGATAGAATTTATAAGAAACTCCATATCTTTGCTAAACAGGAGCATTAAAAGCATTTTGTGTTTTCAGATCCTCATGAAATGTTAAGGAAATCTTAAGTGGGTTGGTTTGTATAATAATTGTGTTCAAAAGGAATACAGTACTTAGCAATCAACATTTTTTCCCACAGCTCTTCAAAAGCCAAATCATACATAGTAAAAGCTCACCTTGAGCTAAGAGTACCGTATGCAAAATGAATTAAGAATTGACATTTGTTTGAAGCCTTCCACGCTTCCTTATAGTTCCCCCCCCCCAATATATTCAGGGTTTTCTTCTTTCATGACGTGTTCTGCCATATCATAGTAATAGTTAGGAAAAACACTGCTACTTTATTATTTTAGAACATGGCAGGGAAGCTGCACATTTGAATGCAGTTCACCTTATTGCTGTCACATGTTATGCTAATGCATTGGAGGAAAAGATGGTAGTCTTACTTTCCCCTTGAATCTTTTTACTTTTACATATTTT